TTAAATTCTGTCCTCTTGAAGAACAGCTGAAGTTACTTACTCACCCATGCTCAGGCAAAACCAGAACTTGCCTGTAAAGGCAATGCTATGAGTGTGTGTTCTCATGAGCATGGTGCTAGACTTGACAAGTGGATCGTACTGATCTTCACTCGTGGCCAAGAGACCTTGAGTAATTAACAATTCCTACATCTGTTCCTAATCTTCAGAAGGGAAGGAAATAATTAAGTTAAATGTGTTCTGGTGTGGGAAGGAGCTCATTATTCAATTACCATTATTACAGCAATATTCATTCAAGCCACACTGTACAACAGACAAGGTGCCATGATTATATGACGATCCTTTCTAGAAAGAAATTACCTTGATGCCGTGATCATCTTAGTGTTGAGTGCAAATAATGTTCTGTAGATCTGCTTTCAACATTTCATTTTTCCTTTACCTTTCAACAATTTGGAAAAGGTTCCTGGTGTTCAAGTTTTGTTCTTTTTGTTTTAGATCCACCGAACTGTGGTGTCGCTGTGAGTGTACACTATGCATGGAGACTATAGCACAGTCTCTAATAGGTGGAGACGAGATTTGGGGAATAAGTAAACTAATTGGCAATATTGACAATTCAAGTCCCTGCAGTTTTCTTTCTTTCGAAGAACCTATCCTTAGGCACCGTCTTCATGGCTTAGTGAAGCTGGAGAATTTTATGGCATGAAAATAGGTGAAAGGGAGGTGTATACAGGAAAGCCTTAGTCCTCTTTGCTTCGCTGAAAGTGTCCCTGTTCATGATAAAGATGATCTGGAATCCTCCCCAAATCCTCAGGTCCCTGATCTGCCTTCACCTGCCACATGGCCCTCACCTCTGAATATTTCATGTTGCTTAACTAACATAGAAAATTGGCACATGTTATCAGTCATTCCAAATGTCAAGGGAGATGACAACAAAATTGTCTCTTTTCTGTTCTCGACAAAATTGTTGATGTCTTTGTAAAGTCCAGAGAGTCTGTAGCATGGGACATCTGAACACATCCCAGGTCCACATGGGAATGTCAAAATCTGCCATCACTGCTTTGAGCCCCTCTACTTCATCTACAAAAACCGCTAAACATTGCCTAACCTATGGGACTACTGGAGTCAGTATTTTGAACTGCCATAGAAATTATACTGCAACTGTCACTAACTGAATTGACACGCTTGAGCATCTCCTTTGGGGTGTCCATCTTTGCAAATTTAGTCCATCATTTGTACAGCCTCCACAGTGCCACCTGTAAAAACAGTGCCCATGTTTTAAGACTGTGTTGAATTTTTCCAAAACACAACTCTTTATCATTCCCCAAGAAGACTGACAGCCACTAGAGGAAGAAATATGTATAGATCAGTTCCTTTGTGTACTGCTATTATGTACAGAAGATTGTTCAAATCCTACTTTGTTTTTATTTAATCTATTAATGAAATAAATTCCAGAACAATATTGTCTTTAATGAGTCTTTGGTTAAATTTGGCATACTTTCCGAACTTACTTAAATTGAAGAAAACAACCATTGTATCACACAATTTTACTTTAGCTTTTCAGCATGATTTTATTTCTTTACAGATGACAACACCAGGCTGTAACTAGAATCATAACTATAGCTGTAGGTAGCATCCTCACTTTTATTCAAAGGCCATAAACCTTAAGATTCTTACATTAATTAGTAGTACACATACCTCTGATATTAAACCTGGATATTGGGTTGAAAGCAGTACAGCCCTCCTGATCTTGCCTGACTTGGAGACCGAATGCCACTCTGCTTGCAGGTGTGTGTAGATGGTAGTATTCTCAGAACCTAGTTCAGTGCCTGGCTCCTGAAGAAAGGAATGAAACACCAGCCTGGAAGACCTAAGATGGAAAAGCAATTCGTGAATCCAGTCCAAACTCCGATTCACATTGCTTAAAAACAGAGAAGTATAGCCTGTAAATCTTCAATATATGTAGTTATCTTGGAGAGGGGGCATTTGTTTAAACTGCTTGGAGTCCTCTTAGCTCCTTATTAAACTCTAGCTCAGCAAGAGGCTTAAAACCATGACTAAAATATTCACATTCGACTCCTGTCCCTATAAAAAATGAATCGCTAGTTTATTCATCTTGCCTAATGACACAGAAGGGCAAAACAAGTACCCAAACAATGAATAATAATGCCAGGACTCAGGCTGCAAAATCAATACAGCAGGTCAGCAGAGCTTGCTTTGTCTTAATGCTCGTATCCCTGAATGCAGTGGAGCTCACCTTCTGAATTATATATGGGTATTGACCTAATTACATAAATATTGACTTTTTCTTAGATGAGGCCCTTTTCCTAGTCTCAGTGTAATTATGGTGCCAATATTTGTGCCTGTAGTAACACTGAGTTGAAATCTTTTCATTGTGACTGATAGCAGCATGTCATGACATAACTCAGAGTCGCATAGCCTTAGAATTCAGGAGACAATAGATAATGAGCAATAGAGTAGCAGCTCTCTGGGTGTATCACACTAACACCTACCACCTGAAGGAAATGATTGGTGTATTGTAAATCACTGAAAGACCATTCTCTCCCAGCCTGTTAAATCCATAATGCACGGGAATAGTAATTAAAAAGCAGGATCAGGCTGGGCGGTGGTGGCACACGCCTTTAATCCCAGCACTCGGGAGGCAGAGGCAGGCGGATCTCTGTAAGTTCGAGGCCAGCCTGGTCTACAAGAGCTAGTGCCAGGACAGGCTCCAAAGCTACAGAGAAACCCTGTCTTGAAAAACAAAACAAACAAACAAACAAAAAAAGCAGGATCACTTCACCTGTCTTTTATTTCTTTTATATTTAAATCAAGTGCTTCAGCTGGGTGGTGGTGGCACACCCCTTTCATCTCAGTAACTGGGAAGCAGAGGCAGGCAAATCTCTGTGAGTTCGAGGCCAGTTTGCTCTACAGAGCGAGTTCCAGGGAAGCTAGGACTGTTACACAGAGAAATCCTGTCTCAGAAAACCAATGAATAAACAAACCAATAATAAACGAAAGTCAAAAAATGAATAAATGAATCAAGTGCTTCATCTTTATGCTCAATTGCCAGTGTTCTTCTTGATATCTATATTGCTGATGGAGGAAGGTCATTGGTTAAATAAAAAGAAACTGCTTGGCCCTCATTGGTTAGAAGTTAGGTGGGAGGAGTAAACAGAACAGAACGCAGGGAGGAAGAGGAAGTGAGCTCAGACTCCACAGCTCTCCTCTCGGGAGCAGACGCCTCAGAGAGATGCCATGCTCCCAGCTCCCAGGCAGACGCACGCAATGAAGCTCCGGACCCAGGATGGACCCGGTAAGCGCACCTAGGGGCGCAACACAGATGATTAGAAATGGGCTAAATTAATATGTGAGAATTAGTCTAGAAGAGGCTAGATAGAAATGGGCCAAGCAGTGATTAAATGAATACAGTTTGTGTGTTGTTATTTCGGGCATAAGCTAGCCAGGCAGCCGGGGTGCTGGGGACGCAGCCCCGCCGCCCCTATTACTACATATTGCTACCTTCTTACCTCTCTGTGCACAAACAGGCTGCATAACTCATTGATTGGGGGATAGTATCACAATAGTGTCCCTATCGCCAGTCTCATACATGAAATCGGAACAGTCACATTCACAAAAGCAGAATGTAGAATGCTGCTTCCCAGGGACTTCTAGGCCTCCAGTTGGGGAAGAAGAGATGGTGATCAGACAGGGTTTCAGAGAGGAAGTTGTGAAATTCAGGCAGGATGGACAAATTGTTTAGACACGGTACAAAACAATAAGTATTTCTCATAATATTTCTTCAAAATATTGTACATTTTGAAGTTGCTAGGTAAATGTTAAAGTCACAATACAAAATGAGTTACTTATTCCACATTGTGTTATATCATGACATCACATTGTATTGCATAAATGTGATTAAATAAAAAAATTAATGGAAAAATAAAAATAAATAAGCAAAAAAGTCCTATGATTACTTTATTCTGATAGAAGGCAATATTTAGAAACTCAACTTTAAGCAGTCTTATTTAATTGTTTCCTCTCACCTCATTGATTTCTCATGAGAAAACTTGCTAGTTCTATAGTTGGTAGAATGAGAAAAAAAAGTAATGGAATATCTCAGGATATTATAGCTAATTTTTTTTGCTTCTTTACCACTTGATGACATTAGAAATATATCACCAGAGATTTATTTTTTTATTTATTTTTTCCATTCAAAAATTTACACTTCCTCCCCTCCACCTCCCGCTCCCCCACTCATCCTCCTCCCTCCCCCTCCCTCCTTAAGAGAGGGCAGGGAACCCGGCACTGTGGCAAGTCCAAGGCCCTCCCCTCCTACATCCAGGCCTAGGAAGCTTTGCATCCAAATAGACTAGGGTCTCAAAAAGCCAGTGCATGCAGTAGAAACAAGTCCCAGTGTCTTTCTCACTGGCTTCTCAGTCAGCCCCCATTGTCAGCCACATTCAGAGAGTCCAGTTTGATTACATGCTCATTCAGTCCCGGTCCAGCTGGTTTTGGTGAGCTCCCATTAGAACAGGCACACTGTCTCCGTGCGTGGACCAACCCCTCGCACTCCAGACTTCCTTGCTCATCTTCTCCCTCCTTCTGCTCTTCAACTGGATCTTGGGGGCTCAGTCCGTTGCTCTGTTGAGGGTCTCTGTCTCTATCTCCATCTGTCGACGGACGAAGATTCCCTCCGGAAGGACGGATCTTCTGGTCAGGATCCGGGCCACTTGCTGCCTGAGATTTATTTAAAAAAAAAAAAAAAAACTTTGCTTTGCTTTTAGAGCATTTCTGAGAATACCCATATAAAGATGTCACTGCCCCATGAGGACTAGGGCAGAACTAAGTAATTATGAAGCACACAGCTCAGTATCTGTGTGAACACAGAGAAGACAAGAAAAGCAAGAAGTCGGTGACATGGTTCTATCGATTATTAGAACGATTCTAGGCTTTCATGTTGAGGTAGCCCCGCATCACTCTGTGTTTTCTTATGTATCCTCCAGGGATGCCGGACAGCATGAACTTCAGTGATGTCAAGCAAGTCCACCGAGCAGACCATGGAAGTACTCTGGATATAACTGGTGCGGGATGTGCATCGGGCACTGAGTCCATGGTACTCACACTAATGGGGATGCTGGTGATTTATGGACTTTGGTAATGGAACTCTTCTGTCTGGACATACCATACGGGAGTCCTGTTTTATCCTGTATCTCCTTATGCTTGGAATAGAAGATTTCTTTAAAAGGAATGATTGAATTTGGAAAAAGTGTGTCATGCTAACTTCTTAGAAGCCAACTTGAATGTCCACAGAGTACCTAGAAACCAAGATTCTGACAGACGGTTTCAAATTCCTGGCATCTAACTTAAACCTTCTTAAATTCTAACATTAAGTCTAAAACTGTGAAAAGCTCAGAAGTGACTTTGAATAAGAAGGATTGGTATATCTTTAATTCTATTCTTCTCAATTTCAAACCCTTTCCTTTTAAAATTGAGAATGTCATCATTTGAAGAGTATGTTTGCCAGGCTCAGAAAACAACTAGTATTTCTCAAAGCACCGGGAATAGAAATAACATTAAGTCAAAACACACAATGGCGAGTATTATGCATGCGTTTTTAAGTGAGTCTTACATTTTTGCAAGTTACAGGAAAAAGTTACTAAAAGTCTGTGAGTTATAAAGTAGATTAGCAGGGTGATTTCACAAAAGTTTACTCAAGAGCTTGACAATGTTTGCCACTCTAGCTTTGCCAGTGAGCTTAGTAATTTAGGGGTACCTATTCATTGTAGCATCATGGCCCTGTCCACTCCTTTCTCTTTACCTAAAAGATCTAGTTATGTCTGAAAGCACACTTGTAAACTCCAATAAAGCTGTTGATTATTTGATGAGAAATTTTAAAGACTATTATGGTCATCTTTCCTAATAAAAGTTTACTCCTAACTTATTTATTTTGAAAATGTTATTTGCTAGTTTTTTTAAGCACACAGTTGGCTATCCTTGCATAAGGTCTGATGAATATCTTGCTGTGGGTAATAAGACAGAACATGCAGCATGCAAGTGTTTAGCTCTCTTCCTGTGTGGTCGGCAGGAAAGTTGCTAATCCACCATCCCAAATTTCTCAGCTGTGGTAAATTGCAGAAACTGATAGGAGTCTTCTAAAGCTGCACTTAAGGAGGGAGAGTTTAGTCAATTTTTATTAAGAAGTATCACACCTGGATACGACCAGGAAATCTAATGAATACGAAGCAAAGGAAAAGAAAAAGCAAATGCTGAACTTCTTAAGCAAATAATTCAGAAGGATTTAAAATGACCTGTGACAAGGGTCGTAAAGGACTCATTTTAACAGCCAACATGACAGAGGCAGAACTGATTTCCCCAATCAGGAAGTGGTATGTGATCAAACCTTATCTCTCTAAGGTTCCCAATCAGGTGTTTGGAGAGTTGTCAGTTTCAATTACAATATTTTTAACTGCTCAAATAGATTTTATTGTCTGTTCAAGCATGTCTTAATCCTGGAAGCAGTAATTCACCTGCTGATCCTCTGTGTAATTTTCTTAGACTGCTACTCCAGGCAGAGATATAGGTAGCTCTTGACCCTTCAGCTACACTCAGACCAGCACACTTCACAAACTACAAACTTAAAATTTTTTTCTGGTTACTATCTCAGGAAAAAAAAATAATATTCAGTCACTCATGCAATCTTGCCCCTGTCAAGGTTAGTTTCCTATAGAAAAATGCCTCGGTCCCTAAATTAGGGGAAATTCATTTTATAGTCTGAAAAGCACAGCTCGGGAGATTAAAATGTATGTTGACAAAATTAGTTGATTCAAGATAATTTGGGGGCATTGCTAAAAATGGATAAGAGCAGAGAACTAACAGAATCAATAGAATGAATGAGTGCATTTTGCAGACTACATTTTATGTTCTCAAGTGTGTGATGTCTCCCTCCAACTATGCACTTCGGATACTACATATGTCAGAACACTGCTGGGAGAGCTCAGAGCCCTAGGAGGTTTGCAGAATTTCTTTAAGTGCCTGAGGCATCATTTTTAGTATTCCTGGTGAGGGTATTCATCCTTTAACATGTCACTTGGTGACATTTTATATTTATGTAGCATTTCATGATGTAAAAGGTTCTTTCAAATGAAACAAAGAGTCTCACGTGACCTTCCTCACTCTCCAGGTTGACTTGATTTTTAGTCCCATAGAAACAATGACATCTATTTTTTAATAATATGGCTCCAAATCTGCATCTTGGTGATTTCTAGAAATGATATATAAGAGGGTTTAAACAAGAGTAAAATTATTTAAGCATACATCTCACTCCCATGATGACTTAAAAATATCAAAATATCACGTTTTTATGCATATCTTATATTGAATGATTTTATCCAAGTCGTTTCTGAGTCCTAAATGATTTTTATACACATTGAAGTGTTCACAAAGTTAGAGCAGAGTTTGGGTGTATAGCTAAAAACTATATATAAAAAAAGAAAAAGGAACAAAAGAAACTGAAAAGAAAAGAAAAGTCTACAAAAAACCTTTAGTTCTTAGCTGAGTGTCTAGCATCTCTTGGGGGAGAGTAGATTAAGAATTAGATTGAGAATTTACTTGCCTGTTATTCTTCATAGACACAGTGATAAATGAGTTTATTGAATTTATGCACAACCTCTTTCAGTCTTACCAATAACATTATCACCTGTATTTTACCAGTGAGAGGAGTGAGGTTTAGGATACCATGAAATTTGTCTGATGCCATGCAGCTAATCATTATATAATTAGAGGGGTGTGGGGAGCCTTTGATAAAAAGCAATTTACATTTGTAGTTTAAAAGCAATAGTGTCTCACAGCGATAGAGAGAAACATAGGTGTTAATATCAAAACTGTCCAGATTTCTTCAACTCTCTAAGCTAGTACATGAATTTGTCCTGGACTGCTGCTATTCAAATCGAGTTGTACTGACTTCATAATTTCATAATTGTCAAACTACATGTCAATTTGCATATTGAAAGTGAGCAAGGAAAATGTGGACTTTTTGTTCTGACAGTTGTTCATCTCTGACACATTCAAATCACACTCATATACAGCGGCTCCCAAATAAATCAGCTATCAAAAATACAAAAGAAAACAGCACTTTTATAATTATCATGGAATCATGAAGTTACGTTTTGTTTCCTGTGCTACTGTTGGGGATAAAATTTCTAGGCCGGTAGAGCACAGGATAAAATTAGAGAAAGAATTTTAAAGAGAGAGAGCAAGGGGAGAGGAGAGAGGGAGGAGTGAAGGATTGGAGAAGGAAAGAGAAGAGGAAAGATGGTAAAGAATACAGGAAGGGAGGGAGGGAGTAGGAGAGAGGCAAGTCAGTGACTGTGGGAGAATCCTCTTTAAGCACCCTGGATTAACCTTTAAATCTCCTATTTGTTCAGGGGCATCTTATGCATGTGCGGACGCTGGCCATTGGTCGTACTTTCTCCTCACTAAGGGCAGAAGTTAATGAGATATTTCCCCCAAACACTCGTGTCCTCTCAAGTGTTTGCTAAGGACACTTGGAGATGACTCAATTAGGCTATTGTTTTCAGACACTTACCTTACTGTTTTATCTCCAGAACCCTTCAAGTACAAAAACAATTGTTTCTTTCTTAGTACATGAATTTATTCTGGACTGCTGCTATTCTGTAAGAAATTCACCTTGTCCAAGGAAGTAAGTATTTTCTCAGATTGTCAATTGTGCATTCAAATAAAATTACATGGGCTATATGAAACAATAATTATATTGTTATGTATGTCTTTGAGCACATCAATATTTTAAAATCGTATTATTATATGGAATTCATTTCTAATTAAAATATCAATAAAGCACAATTTACTGATTGAAAGAGGTTTTGTTTTCTAAACTTAGTAATTTTTGCTGTTACCATTAATTTTAAAATCAAGATTTAGTGAAACACTATTTCTGAAACTTCCTTCATCTATAAAAGAATTTTAAAATGTTACATAGTATAACTAATTCATTCATAGTAGTACAATAAGTTATTTGGAATGGAGTGGGCAGTGAATATATTTGTACATATATTTACAAAAGTGATATTCAAGAGTCTCATCTTCCTTCTGTAAATGTTCACTGGAATGTGTTTTGCCAAGAAGTTTAAAAGATTACCTATTGTGCCTTTCTGGTAAAGCTTTTCAGTGACTGTGGCAAAGTTCAGGGAGAAAGAGGTACTGCAATTTTCAACAAAATTTAAAACAGGACAGAAGATCTGCGAGAGTCAGAACTCCTGGAAAGAGGAGGCGTGTGTGAACCATCAGCATGGCTCTGATAATTGGGTGAGTAAAATGTGACTTTTGTCAGTTTTGTACCAAGCTTGAAACCCATTGGGCTAGGAGCAATGAAGGGTGGTAGACCAAAAGGAAGTCTTAGGTTTTCTCAAGATGACCCGTCTAAAACCACTAACATGAGGAAAAATAAATAAGTAACTACAGGCCAGGATGCAAACAAATGCAGGAGCTTGCTTTGAGCTTTGAACAGAATAGTGTTCTCTACAAAGAAGCATTTCCACAGTGGTGATCAGGGAGTTCCGAGAGCCTCTTATCTCCCTTCTTCCTGTTCCCACATGCCTCCTCTTACCCTGACTTTCTTCCTCTTTGTGTCTAATAATGTTTTGTTTCTCTTCTGTAAAAATGGGGACAAACTACATCAAATCCATGAAATGACTAAGAGAAGAAACTAAAGCACCATTTACTAGAAACACGCCTGTCCCCTGATGAGCAGTGATTCATATTCATCTCCCATGGTACCTCCTGCTGCGATGAACATATTCCTGAGACAGTATTATTTCCTCTGTAGCCTGCCTGTTGACAGCTGTTGACATGGGAAGAGAATGTGAAGGCAAGAGTATACAGGCATTTGAATATTATTTGGAAAGTGAGAAACATTGGACAAATGTATAGTTCTATGCCATTATACAGGGAGAGTTTTCTTCTTTCTTTTAGTGCATATAATATCATACTCATTCTGACTAAAGGTTTAACTCTAAATTGTTTCTCTAATATGACAGATTAGAATTCTATTGGATAGTATTTTTGACTGGCCCATTCAGGCAGTTCTATCTGTTCGCTTATACTAGCAAGCATATCACAACCCCAGCAGGGTGAGAACCTATTATCGACAAAACAAAATAAAAAATATAATAAAAATTAAAATGGTGCCCCAACTATTTCATGCTAAAGCTATTCTCACATGGGTATTTATATATATTTTTTTGAGAAAAAGAAAAAAAATTTCCCCCTCCCCCCACTCTTCTCCCCCTCCTTCTCCAGTCCAAAGATCAGTCAGGGTTCCCTGCCCTGTGGTAAGTCCAAGGTCCCTCCCCTCTCCGTCCATGTCTAGGAAGGTGAACATCCAAACTGGGTACGCTCCCACAAAGCCAGCACATTACGTAGGATCAAAACCCCATGCCATTGTCCTTGGCTTCTCATCAGCCCTCATTGTTCGCCATGTTCAGAGAGTTCGGTTTTATCCCATGCTTTTTCAGTCATAGTCCAGCTGGACTTGGTGAGCTCCCAATAGATCAGCCCCACTCTCTCAGTGGGTGGGTGCACTCCTCGTGGTCCTGACTTCCTTGCTCATGTTCTCCCTCCTTCTGCTCCTCATTGGGACCTTGCGAGCTCAGTCCAGTGCTCCAGTGTGGGTCTCTGTCTCTATCTCCATCCATCACCAGATGAAGGTTCTATGATGATATGCAAGATATTCGTCAGTATTGCTATAGGATAGGGTCATTTCAGGTTCCCTATCCTCATCTGCCCAAGGAACTAACTGGGGACATCACCTTGGGCTCCTGGGAGCCACTCTAGGTTCAAGTCTCTTGCCAGCCCTAAGGTGGCTCCCTTAACTAAGAATTGTGCTTCCGTGCTCCCCTATCCAACCTTCCTTTATCCCAATCATCCTGTTTCCCCAAGTTCCCCCATCCTCCCCTTCTCACTTTTCTCTCCCCTTCTCCCCTTACCCCCAACCCACCCCACCCCAAGATCCCACTTTTCACCCCGGCAATTTTGTCTACTTCCCATAGGCAAGAGGATAACTATATGTTTTTCCTTGAGTTCACCTTCTTATTTAGCTTCTTTAGGTTCACCAATTGTAGACTCTGTGACCCTTATTTATGGCTAGAAACCAATTATGAGTGAGTACATCCCATGTTCATCTTTTTCACATGGGTATTTCTAAATAATAAATCATTCTAGGTTTTTGCAGAGTTCCTGTTGCTAAGTGAGTTTTTTAAGACAGCCAGGCTTTAAAATATTTCTTTTGTTTCTCTTCTCTGGATCTCATGGGTATGGACAAATCTTCGATAGTTCCAGTTATTTAACTTAAATAATCATAGTCACACACACACACACACACACACACACACATCTAGGACATTCACATACGTGCTTGTTCTTCTTTCTTCTCGTTTGTCTTCCTTTCATATTAAATTTAGCTCTAGCAACAAGGTTTAGCATCCTGAGGAGAATCCATATGCCACAAGCCTTAGCGAGGCCGTCTGATGGGCAGTCAGCGCCATCACTGATTTACAGCATAGAAATTTGCGGTAGGAAACAGAACGAGTATTGCAGATATTTTAGAAGCAATTTTCCATCTGACCTTGAGCATGACTATTACAGCTGCAGCCACCTTTCATAAAGTTGTGTCCTCAAGCCAAACAATCCCACATGGTCTTACTAGATTCCTACATCTCAAAGCTAAAACTTGAAACATTACTGGTACAGTGGCAGAGAAAGTTTGCTCGCTTGATGGTTTCTGTTACTTAGCAGTGTTTGTATATACTTCACTAAAATGAAGACTAGATAGAGAAATGCCCAGTTTTTATTTATTGGAAAGGGCAATGTTACAATCCTATCATTAATATTTAGTCAATAATATTTTTGGTTCTAAATAATTTTCAGGAACTGAGATCTATAGCCTTCTTAATTCAATTATGGCATATCATGATATCCAGAGACAAATAGCACTTTGATTGGCCACTCTGAAAGATTAAACCCCAGAGGGCATGGTATTCATTGATAAGGCTATGCACATTGGTTTGGCAGTGTTTCTCTTTCTCATGGAGTTTTCGAAGAGACACTTCGAAATAGACACAAACTAATGCTGCCACCTCTGGTAATTTATTGCAGATTAGGAAGGTGGAATAGAGAAGCTTATTTGCTGGGGTTCTGTAGTACAGAGTCTAATGTAGAAAACAGAGGAAGAATACCAGGGCAGCAGTGGAAGCCAATGTTAGCATCATTCAGAAAATATGCAGATGGAGGCCAGTGTCTCAGCTCCTATGACTTGCTTGTGAACATGTGGCATGTGCCTGAGACACAGCTCACCAAAGTATGCACATGAACATGGGACATATATAATTTTAGTTCTTGTTTCCCCATTTATAAATTATTTTCAAAAAGAATCTGAGACGGTCATCAAATACAGTGAACTGAAACTAATAGATATCAGAAAACAATACTTGTCACACACACACACACACACACACAAGTTTAATTGGATTTATTCTGCACAAGAGATAGTGCTCTTTCCAGAAACCATCATTTGTCAAATAAAAGTCCCATGTTGGGTGTGGGATACCGTCACAGATTTGTTGACTAATGGTGTCCTGAAGACACAAAAAGCAATAAAGGTTACTGGTATTTGTTGTGGCTTAAATTGGAAGTATCTGCTTAGGCTCAGGTATTTGAACATTTGGGCCCCAGTTAATGGCCCTTTTTGGGGAGATATAGAATATTTAGAAGCTGCAGACTCACTACAGGAAGCTTGGTATTAGGAGAATAATTTGATGCTTATATAGAAGACAGACAGAGAAGGATATGATGATTATGTGTTAATGTAACTATTCAAATATGTGATGATTCTGTGTTTGTTGTTTAATCTATATATGTAATTTCACAGTATATCTTGAATTTTTTAGATCAATAAATACAATTTCAAAAATAATTGTACTTGATGTATAAAACTCTTCCTATGAATGTTACATAGTTTATTGAGTCAATCTTCTATTGAGAAACATTAAATATTTAATGATCTGCCATAAACAATGTTGTCACTAAAATCTTTATGAACTAGGTTTTACTCATCATGATTATGTTGCCAAATTAGTTCTTCCTTAAGGGGAACAAGGGAAAGAAGTGTCTTACTCTACCTGGCTTGACCATAGTAACCAATGGAAAAGAAGCCAAGCAAGTCACAATAACGCTGACAAGTGAACTGGTGGAAATGATGTTTGTTTCTGCTTTGCTTTGTATTTGTCATTTCATAATCAGTGTGCTCACTGTGGTGACTTGAATGAGGAATTCCTCCTAGTCCCCATATGGTGGCAGTGGTTGGATTGATTTAGGATCTGTGACCATTTTGGAGGAAGTATGTCCCTGGAGGCATGCTTTGAGAGTTTAGGGACTCTGTGTTGCTTCCTATTTCCTGTCTACTTCCTTTGCTTCCTGTTCCTGCTGCCATGCCTGACTCCTACTACCACAAAGTCTATTGTCATGCTTCTCTACCATTATGGACTCAAGACCTCTTGAGCTCAAACAAACTTTTCTTCCATAAATGCCCTCCATCATTTTATCCCTGCAACAACAAAGTGATGAATATGCTTCACTCTGTGTCGTTGACTGCACCAGTTGGAAGGAAATTTTTCTATAATACAAATTTATGTTACTATGATTGCATATTTATATTCCTTCCCTAAATAGACAAAAGGTTACACAAGCTATTTGAATCCTTTGTGATGGCAATGACCTTTACATTAGTAAAAGTCCAAATCAGTATTTTGAATATAAACTAGCTATTATAATGAAAGAAAAATCCTGAAGAGATCCTAAATTT